ATATCCGGGTTTTCTTGTCCCAAAACTTGTTTGATCTTGACAAATTTGTGTCTGACAATTCTGTATAAGTTGGGGTATTGCACATTGAGAGGGGTGATACCTAGCCAGGTGTCCTCCCAGAATCGTACCTGTGATCCATCTCTAACCAAGAAAGTACCAAATTGGAAAAAGAATTCCTTAGCCTTCATCACCCCACTCCAAAAATGTGAATCGCCGGGTCTCCAATAAACTTGAGAAATGGCTTTGGATCGCACGTACTTGTTACGAATGATTTCCTGCCACACTCCATTCTCAGTGAGTAGTTTGTACACCCATTTACTGAGTAGAGCAATTAATCTCAAGGTCTTGGATTCCAAGTCCCCCTTGACTTTTAGGTCGACATAATACATTCCACCTAGCCAGTCGATATTTTTTGGTTTCATTATCACTTTGCCAGAAAAATCTGGATCTGAAGTAATCTAAGCGCTGAAGAACCCCTTTAGGTAGGTGGAAGAATGACAGCATATATAACACCATATTACTGAGGACGGAATTAATCAAAATTAACCGACCTCCATAAGACAAGAGTTTGGCCTTCCAACTGGCTAGACGTTTCTCAAGTCTCTCTTCCACATACTTCCACTCAGCTATAGTTAAGCGCCGATAGTGAATGGGTATCCCTAAATACCGAATTGGGAATTGCCCGATTTGGCAGCCAAAAATATCAGCATACTCAGGTGCAGATTCTGCAGCATCGCCGAAACAAAAAAGTTCACTCTTATGAAAATTAATTTTGAGACCAGAAAGTTCCTCAAAAGCACATAAAAGCAACTTGAGGTTTCTTGCTTTCTCTATATCATGATCCATGAACAAAATCGTGTCATTCGCATATTGTAGAATAGATAAGCCTTCTTCTACTAGATGAGGAATAACACCTCTGACTTGGCCGGCCATCTTAGCCCTCTCAACAAGGGTAGCTAACATATCGACCATAATGTTAAATAAAATAGGAGATGCGGGGTCCCCTTGGCGAAGCCCCTTCCTAGTCTGAAAGTAGTTGCCAACTTCGTCATCAACCTTGATGGCCACGCTCCCTCCGGACACAAAACTCTCTACCCAACGACACCATTTTTGCGAGAACCCCTTCATACGCAAGGTTTGCAACAGAAAGGGCCATTTAACTTTATCATAGACTTTTTCAAAGTCTATTTTAAGGATAACTCCATGCAACTTTTTACGGTGAAGCTCATGTACAGTTTCATGCAGTACAACAACTCCATCTAGTATGTTGTGTCCCTGCATAAATGTTGTTTGGGTGGGTTTGACCACATGGTCAGCCACCCCGTTCAACCGATTAGTTGCAACTTTAGTAAAAAAATTAAAGCTTACGTTTAGGAGACAAATCGGTCTATATTGTTGAATGCGACTAGCCTCCTTAGTCTTAGGTAAAAGGATGATTTCCCCAAAGTTTAAACGGGAAATGTCAAGCTCCTCAGCATGCAGTTCATTAAACAACTGAACCAGGTCCAACTTGATCATATCCCAGAAACATTGATAAAACTCCGTAGGAAAACCATCCGGACCTGGAGCCTTGTTGTGTTCCATCTGAAACACCGCGGTTCAAATTTTCTCCTCAGAGAATGAGGAGGTTAGGAATTCATTTTCCGCTTCTGAAACTTGAGGGATGTCATGAGTAATAGACTCGTCCATCTCAAGAGATGTATCAGCTGACGGTCCAAAAAGTTCTTTGTAATACTTAGTAATAAAGCTTCTGAGAGGTACGTCCCCCTCTATGCGGCCCTCATCCTGATCTAGAGCGAATATACGTTTCTTTCTATGTCTGCCATTGGTGAGCATTTGAAAGTATTTCGTATTATCATCACCTAGAACGAGCGAGTCTGCCTTGCAACGTTGGTACCATTTGATCTCCTCCTCGCGTAATTGGCGAGCAATCTGCTCATTGAGATTGCTTTTTTGCTCAATCTCCTCAGCAGAAAGAGACCGCACCTCCGCAATTTTATCGAGAGTATCAATTAAGGTAGATAGTCGCAATTTCTCTTTCTTATAGATGCGAGCAGTATGCTTAGCCCATCCACGAAGGAACCTTCGCAGAGCACGAATTCGATTGTTCCATCGTTGAATTGGCGTGTTACCGCGAGGTTGACGTGCCCATACTTTCTTAACCAGGTCATGGAATCCCTCTCTAGTGAGCCATCCCAGTTCAAATTTGAATTGGTGACGGTTAGCACTTGGAGTTGTCTGTCCGAAATCGGTTAACAATGAAGCGTGATCCGATAAGGACTCAATTCTTTCTAGGGCCCGTACCGAGGCTAGGAGATATTTATATTCCTAGTCGGTGGTAACGAGCACCCGGTCAAGTTTTTCAAAAGTTGGGTTTACTCGGTTATTGGCCCAGGTATACTGACGACTAGACATGGTGAGTTCCTGCAGGTCCAGGCTGTCAATAATAGCATTGAAGAGGAATGGTCACCTAGTGTCAAACCGGTCATTTTTTTTCCTGCTGATATCTAAGAATATTGAAATCCCCCCGATTAACATGGGATGGGAATTTTCTCGGCAGGTATTAACAAGTTCTTTAAGAAAAGCCGACTTGAATTCCTCCTGAGCGGCGCCATATACAGCCACCAGACTCCAGAGGAAGTTGTCTGACTTATTTCGAAGGTGAAATTTGATATGCTATTCCCCCTTCGAAGTGGACAAAAGTTCCAAATATGTGGAATGGATGCCTAGCAAAATACCCCCTAACCTCCCAGACGGCGGTAAGATGTGCCATTCGTAATCATAACCACATGAAAGGTGGTCAAGATCACGTGTTGGGAAGTCACGTTTGCTAGACTCGGTGATAGCTACAAAATCCAACGCATGATCCTTCACACAATCGGCAATGTGTTTGTGTTTAGCCAAGTCACCAAGACCTCTGCTATTCCAAAACATGCCTCTCATGACAAACCACCTTTTTGTTTGGAGACCTTTCCCATTTTAGACGTGCGCCCCTTTTTGTTTGCTGAACTAGACTTGTTCTTTCGTACTGACGCGACAAGCTCAAATAGCGTAGTGTCACGCACAATATCATCCAAGTCTACTTCAGTCGTGTCTTTAACCAGATGGGATAGGAGCTTGCCTTCATGATTGGCATCAGCATTGATTGAATGAATGCATCAATCAACGCGTTGAGCAAGAAGAACCAAAACTTAAGATCTCCTCGGCTACCACGCACAATGGTTACCTTGCCTTCAACATATCACCCGTGCCATAAAACTTGGTGAGTTGGTCTGCATGTCGTACCATCGATACGATAACGATCTCACAATGCCATCATGGACGATGTGCATGTTGTAGGGCGCAGTGAGCTTTCGTGTGTGAAATGAATCATGCACGCGCTGCTAGAATAGACCCTCTCTACTACTGCCTAAGAAATATGTGGATACAGCCAACCATGGATCACAGAACAACTTATCCTCCTTCTTACTTAAAAAAGACATGGCATTTGACCGAATACCTACCGGGCGTGGTGACCGCCATGGACGACGTCAACAGAGGGCGGAGTGTACCTGCCTACAGACGGGTGGTGGACGACGCCGTCGTGAAAGGTGAGCGGATGCGTCGGTGCTAGTTGCGAAGGTCCGGCAATGCATGTGTGCCAGCCGGAGAGGTACAACGACGACATCGGCGGAGGAGGGTGCGGATGCAAAGCAAGAGGGAGAAGGACGGATCGAAAGAAAATGAAATCAGAAGAGGCGATTTAATGGGCCGGGAGTGTCAGAGTCCTACGTAGCTGCTGTCCGGACTCCGGCAAAGCCTCCCAACGTTTTCTCTGTTTTTAGAAAAAAGTACGTCCGGATCGCTTAGCCGATACAGTCCTGCGTTGAATGGCACAACACATACAGAACGTGTTTTTCGGACGTATACATGCGGTTTTTGTTTTTCTTAACGTAGAACAGCTGCTAAATTCATCTGGGCAGGAGAAACAAGCACATGTGACGGCTACAGAAACGCATTTGGTTATTGGCATGGAGTAGCAGACGTACACATACACCCCGTTCTTCACGAGCAATGCATGATCTAGTTTGCTTCTCGTGTGGTGCGTTTCTGTTGCCGCCTTGGCCTTGGCCTTGGGTCTTCCACCACGGCACCGGGCCACGACCATGACACACGGCTCGGTCCCTCTGCTAGATCCTCCTACCACTAGCACAGACGCAGCCGCTACGCAGGCCAGGACTCGGCGGTGCCCGTGGCAACCACGCCACGTTCTTATCCGCTCACATATTTTTTTGTATGTATCGCGAAACTTATCCGCTGATTTCTTAAGCACAAGAGCCTCCCCCAAGTTGTTCCACACATGAATGAATCTCACTTCCAATTCATAGGCGTACTAAATTGACCGTGAGGGAGACAGTGGAGTGGAAATGGAGAAGAAAAGAAAAGGGGAAGATCGACCGACGCCCAGCCAAAACGGGAATCTCGCAAAGAACGATGGACAAACCGGGAATGATTAAAGAGGCATCCATCACCACACCAGCGGCGCAATCTGCTCTGCCTTACGCCTCACGCTCGCCCCTCGCCCCTCGCCGGCCACGAGAATGGGATTTGCAAATGCAAATGCTCCTCCCACTAACACCGTCTCTTAACCAAAGTTGTATTATTATTATTACTCTACTAAACAAAAATTGATCTCTTGACGAAAGGGGAGGCTGTCATCTCATCCGTAAGCGAAAAGGCGGGCGCACAAGTCCAAAAGTGAACATTCCGATTCTTCTCCCTCGCCAAAGCTTTTTATCGGATGGAGGAATCCACAGACCGAACCAAAAGTTTCACTTCGCCAGAGTCAAAGGAAACGAGAAACATCAGGCCTCACAGGAGCACACGCAAATATTTTCCTATGGCTACTAAAAAGGTGAAAAATTAAATTTATCCATACCATCAACTAAACAAATCCAAACTACACGCATTTTTCTACAGTCAAGCTCTGCACTGCAGTTCCGGTGGCGGTGTGGAGTTCATCATGGCCGCGCCGGCGCCGGCGCCGGCGAAGCGGCCCCCTTTCTGCTCGACTCGGCGTCGTCCCTTCCCCGCCGGGTGGACCCGTCCCACCCCTTCCGCACCGACCCGTCGCCTCCCCCTCGGGCCCACGACATCGTCCTCGCCAGGAACGCCTGCCACCGCCGCCCGCCGTGGCTGCTGCCGCCGCCGCCCGCGGGCCGGCCTCCGCGCACGCTCCCCTCGGGACTCGCTCCGGCGAAGTCGATCAGGCTGGTGGCGTGGCGCAGGCGGCGCGACCTCAGCACCTGCTCCCTCACGTGGTGCGGCAGCCGCAGCGTGAACCTCTCGTGGTCGCTCCGCTCCGCGGCGGCGGCCGACGCCGCGAAGAGCGAATGGCCCGTCGAGTGCGACCTCGGCAGCCTCGCCGCCCGCCGCTCGCTGCGCAGCATCTCCAGCTCCATCGCCTCCTCCTTCCGGTCATCCTCGTCGCTCTCCTCCTCCTCCTCCCGAACCGGTATCGCCACGGCGTGCGGCGGGGACGGCGAAGGCGAGGGCTGACGCCGCGCCACCTGCTCGGGCGACGGGGGCGCCACGGCGGACGGCTGCGGCGGCGGCGGCGGCTTCTCGAGGTTGGCGCGGCAGAGCGGGCACGTGATCCGCGCCTCGAGCCAGGGGTCGATGCACTCGGGGTGGAAGGCGTGCGAGCAGTGCGGCAGCAGCCGGAGGTCGTCGGCCTCCTCGAACGCCGTGAGGCACACGGCGCACTCCAGCACACCCCTGCCGATCTTGTGCTCCTTGATCTCCCTGTACTGCATGATCGGGAACGTGGCCACCACCGCCGGGTCCAGCCCGCGCTTCCCCCGCCTGGACGCCCCGGCCCCGGCCGCGGCGGCCGCCGCCCCCTGCGGCGCGGCGTTCTCGGCGAGGCGGCACTGGTTGATGTAGGCGCAGAAGAAGAGCAGGAAGAAGAAGACGCTGATGGCGACGGTGATGACCGTGGACATGGTGCGCCCGAACGGCGTGGGCCTCGGCGCCGCCGCCGCCCCGGACTGCGGCACCGGCGCCGGCGGCAAAGTCTGCGCCACGCATGATCCGGCGCCGGCGCCGAGGAGGCAGAGAAGGACGAGGAGGAGGTGTGGACGCACCTCCATCGCCGCAACCATAGAATTGTCAGCTGAGGCGGTGGTCTGCTCTACAAGAGAGAGAGAGAGAGAGCTCAGCTGGAGGCTGGCGGTGTGGTGTGCCGCTACGTTAGCGGCGGCGGCGGCGCCTAAAATCCCGAGGGAAATTCGCACCTTCCTTTCCTTTCTTTCTTGGGCAGAAATTTTCTGACGAGTGGACGCTTGCCTTTTGCTCTTGTATGCACCACACCACAGGCCCTCCCTTCACGTTTCTACATCTAGATTGATCTGCTTTGACTACTGATTTTGCCATCACACTACACTGAATGCGATGCGATTATTAATAATCGTGCCGACCGTAAATGTCATACAATTTGCCATAATTGTAGAATACACATACAGCATCATTCCAGTTTTTTAGAAAATGGTGGGTGTGGTAGCTGAGGATTGCCCAATGACGCCGAGAAATCCTTAGACAAGCTCGTCTAGATCGCGACTGGTTTTCATATGACATGGGCAAATCATGTCTTGCCGGTGCATGCTACACCTGGACTAAAGGAATGTATCTGGTGCACCCGCACTTGTGATGCTACCGGTGCACAGGATGTCATAGAATATTTTTTGAATATTTTAAAAGCACAATATGAGTCCGGTACACCGGTAGCACCACAAGCTCCGGTGCACCAGATATTTCCCTCCTGGACCAACGGTGTGGAGCATGGAGAACAACATGCTCAAGTGTGATCGAGCAGGTGATGTCATGTCGCCTGCCCGGTGGAGCAGTTGTACCGATCATATGCCACTCAGATCGTGAGCGCCACAGGATGACACGGGTGCGGTCAGTTACCAACTTCAGCTTTAGCCGTACAGTACCTGGGTAGTTGGTATCTGGGGCATGTTTATTCCTTGCTGAACTTCGTCACACCTTTTCGGTTGAACCGTGGCACGTCACGAGAAAATGTTCGACGCAGCTCTTTTTTTTTGCGGGTGAAAAGGAGATTCTCATTACTCACGGAGGCTTCTTAGCCAATGCCAAGTTTATAACAAAATCTAATCCCGAATGTAACCATACTGCAGTACGGGGAGTGCTACGGCCACGACGCAGCTTAGCAAAGCTTGCAGAACTGCCTAGCTGCTGCTACAAAGCAAAGCTTGCAGAACTGCCTAGCTGCTGCTACAAAATCGTGGCATACACCGCTGCATACATGTGGCAGAATCCTGCATGCTCTTAGTTACACTGGACCTGAAAATATATTTCTTTCCATAATGCGTCGCTGGACCTGATAATATAGTCAGATTGCATTTGCCAAAATAAAGCATAAACTGTTCTAGAGTCCATTATTCTCGTACCAAAACACAGCAGCAGGCAGCTGTTCTCGACAGAGGGCATAACATGCCACTCAGGAGCACGCGTTTGCCCTGCTCGACAGTATACAGCTCTTCTGCAACATCAGCTCTCTAAAGCTATCCGCCGTGTCGGTGAAGCCAGCAGCCAGAAGAGCATCAAACAGCCTGTTGCAGGCGGAGATGTCGAACTCTGGGACTTTCGATCGCTGCCACTGGTCGACGACCTCCGCGGCATCCTTCAGCTGCCCGCACATCAGATAGGCGGAGAGCACGCAGACATAGTTCCGGCTAGTCATTCTCTGGGAGGTCATCTGCATCGACTTCCATATGTCCTTTACCCTGTCCAGGTTGCCGAGACCGGCGTGCAAGATGACGAGGAGATCGTAGGTTATCCACTCCCTCTGGCTAATCTTCGCCTCGGTTTCCACCAGTGAACTCCCCGAGCTAACAAGCTGGCTGGCATCGACGTAGATACTAGCGAGGTTCCGGTACAGTGTCCATCCTTCGTTGGAGTTTGGATCTTTTGACATCTCGTCGAGAATTCCTTTGAACGCCTCGAGATCCATGGATGCAACCGACGCGCTGATCCGGAGGTTGTATGTGAATAGGTCTGGTGAAACATTTTGCCTCTTCAATTCCTCAGCAAGAGTTGGAACCTTATCAAGCTCGCCGACAGAAATATACAAGGTCATCATTTCATTGTAGACCAGGACATCAATAGGTAGGTCTGCATCCTTCATTCTCTGAAACAGCCTCTCGGCTTTGTCTACCATCTTTGATCGAGCATATGAATGGAGGAGTGCAGTATATGCTTCCAGTGATTTGGCTGCAGGTGGAAGCTTCTCAAAAAAATCTTCAGCTGCATTAGCGCCAAAAACTTTTGTAATCAAGTCGATGCGCACCCCATAGTCGTTCTCAGATAAATCAGACTCATGATGTGTCTTCATCCACTCTGCTACCTGCAAAACTCAAAGTTAAGAACTAATGCTCTCGCCCTTTCTTCTTGTTTTTCTTGAACGAGAAATATAGCAGCCAGGGTAAAATTGTTTGATCCTGTTTATAAGCATTTCGTAGGTATTAGAATAAGCAATGCAAAGAGACAGAGAGAGAAGTGACTGTTTGGATATGAGCTTTGAGCTTTAGCCAGGTGAAAATTTAATGCCTAGCTCTTTCATGGACGGACATAACTCTTCTACTAATATAAAGACCCATTACTTAATGAAAGCAATGGCTCAGATCTATTATATACTCTTACCTCTCATGTGAAAAGAGGAGGTAAGAGGGACCATGTTAAAACTGCCCAATCTAACATCTCAAGAACAGATATCCATTCGGCGCGCTGAGTTTGTAAACAAGATAAAGTGCTCGTCATGTAGTGAAATACAAAAAAGATGGATTACCTAACTTGGCAATAAGATGGCACAGTGAGATAAATGTTTATCTGACAATAATAGCTTTGTAGTATTAAGACCCTAAACTACATGCGACACTTATTATGGATTGGAGGGAGTATTAGAATGATGCATAGCTTGAAAGGAGACTCTATATAACAGATTGGCTATATATCTTCTAAGCCAACCAAACTGCATAAAAAATTGTGTGCAACTTCACACATTTCTATACCGAAAGTGGCACACAATTTCTGAATGTGCACCTACCCTATTAACATCCAACGTGAAATAGGCGACATGGAATTTGGAAAATTTGGTCGACTTGGAATTCGGAAATAGGCAATCCCTAAAATTATTAACCAGCAGTACAACTCAGTTAAAAAACCACATCCTTTCTATTCATCAGAATAATTGGCTACCTAAAGAGTACAACTACAGAAATCAAACATCAGCAACATTTCATCACCATTTCCAAGCAAAGCACAAACAGATCGTACCACTGCGTTGCATAGGCAATAACTTAAATCTGTACCAAATCGCTCCACGAAACCCTTGCCCTAACTACGGCGCAATCAGAGGAGATCAGGGATCTGGGAGTGCGCGAACCTCGAGCGCGTGCTTGTAGCGGCGGGCGCGGCTGAGGTCGCGGGCGATGCGGCGGAGCTCCGGCGCGGGGGCGGCACGGCCCTCGCCGGCCCATTTCTCGAGCGCCTCCGTCGCGCTCCGCTTCGCCAGCCGCAGCCGGAAGATGTGGCTCCTCAAGTCGTCCTCCTCGGCTTCGACAACGACCGCGTCCTCAACGTCTGCGGGGGTGGGCGGCGCAGCGGCGGCAGGGGACAGCGTCTCCGCCGCAGAGGCGGTGCAGGAGGAGGAGGACAGCTGGCTAGGGCGGCCGACGATAGAGCGGGGGAGCGCGAGGTGCCGCGAGGCACGAGCTGCTCGGAGAAGAGCCGCCGCCATCTCGGGTGCTCTGCCGCGGCGTTCCGCGCGAGCCAACCGTGACGCCGTAGTAGCAGTGTACAGTTACAAGTCTTTTTCTTTTTGAGAGAGAGGTTTTCTTTTTTTAGAAATCTCGCCTGCTTTATTCATTCAAAGGAATTATCATATGTACAAGGTTTGGGTCATGGGGTTACCCAATCAAACATGTTTATCTATGTCTAGATTATAAGCAAACTTGACAAGATTGTGAGCATAGAAATTGAAATTCCTATGCTCGAAAACAAAAAAGCAAGAAATAAAACTGGTGCAATGATTCGTTATTTCATGTACTAATGCCGCACTAGGGCCTCCCGTCCCTCTGTTTATATCGTTCACAGCCTCTTGGCAGTCCGAGGCCACATATACCTTCTGCTCTGGAAGATCATCAGCCAAAACTAACGCTTCACGGCAAGCAAATGTCTCCGACAACAACGGATCAGTGATTCCATAGTAAGCCATAGCTGATGATCCCAGGTAATTACCTTCCTGGTCGCGACAAACCGCCGCTACTGCTCCTCCTCGCCTGGTTTGCCCTTCCGTCCACGTTGATCTTCGTGGTGCCACTAGGGGGAGGGGGGAGGTAGCCAGCTCTTCGATAGTGGAGCCGGGATCGGTCTTGTGATTTCATGTTCTCTCCCAACGTGCAAGTTGCCCAACTCTGCGATGTAGTTGCTAATGAAAGACGCCGTCTGTTGTGGACTATGAAATATTGATTCGTATATTGCCTTCCTCCTTGCATGCCATATGGACCAAAGTGTAATGACCATCCTCGTGAAGTTGTCATGGTCCAAACTCTCGTTCAACTCGAACAACCAAATTCTCGCATTGGCCTCCAGGTTATCCGACATTTGGGAAACCAGTGTTTCATCTGACAACGTGTTGGGATCTACGGTAGGGTGCGTCGACTGCAAATTAAAATTTCCTATGCGCAGAACAACCAAGAACATGCTACGGGAGATGGATCACAGTTCGTTACCACTAGACGCGCAATGTCGTGCAGCGGAAGAAGAGTTGGGGTAGCGCGTCCATGTGGATCGTCTCCTCCTTGTCCGATCTCCCTCGTACAGCCGGTGGTCGGTTCCCACGTACAGGTTCACCGGAGTGGCACAAGTGCACCCCTCTAACGGTATCCGCGCGTGCAGGAGAAACGTCATGCGGCGGACTGCTAGGTCCGATCACACAACCGGCGGCGAGTGGAGGTGTCTATTCGCAACACATGCAAACCCTAATGACAGCGCCGAAGCGATCAACCATGAGTGTGCCGCACCTGCACTATATATATAGGCGTCCGTCACGGGCTCAACACTTGGGCCTTGCACGGACCCTAAAGCCCATAAGTCTACTCAGCCACAATCCGAATACAGTTCGGATCACATCCGACCAGTGTCCTCGGATCCGACCTCGTAGGTTCCTTCCCTTAAGCGCGCGACCCCTTAGGTTCAAGTCGGCTTGGTCGCAGTTCGGATCACCTCCAAACTGCAGAGTTGGTAGCGGCCTCTAGCAAGGCATGCCGAACACCAAGCAGACTATGAAGCTGGTTAGCGAACCTGTACATCACACTTCCATTCCTTTTGCCACACGATATATGTTGTCGAGCTCAAGGCGAGTCTGTCATCCTTGTGGTAGTCCGACCTCTTTCTCGTTCCAGTGATGCCGACCACAAACTGGACTATCTCATAATCCTTGTCGCATGGCCATGCTTATCCTGGTCGGATCACACGAGGGGCCCAGAGTATATCTCTCCTGATCGGAGGGGCAAATCCCATCTTGCTCGATCACGTCTCGCAGCACAGGTCTGGACAAGCCTGAAACCTACCTTTGTAACTACCCAGTCACGGAGTAGCGTTTGGTCGGCCCAAAGCAAGTTTGTCACCATCCCGAGTACATGCGTCAGCTCAGGTCTTAGGACATAGAACATATGTTGTACTAGAGACTCACAGATGACATATCGCTGCGTCTCATAGTTGGGTCTGTCCGACTCGGACCTTATCTCGACTCGGATCCGACTACGTCGAATCCGACCAGATACTTCCAAGTCCATATTATCCGGTTAGCATCCAATGCTCCATGGCTAGTGAGACCAAGCCATCGACCGTGTCATATGCTAGTTTAGTTGGCTGCGCGTCCACACAGCCCGTTCGACTAGGGACCTTTTAGGACAGTCATCATATAATGCATAGTCCCACAAACAAGTCACGTACTTGCTGATACACATCATTGATAATGTCCAAGGACTATCTTTATTCATAAACACATAGGAAATATCATCATACATGATTGCCTCCAGGGCATATCTCCAACAGTCTCCCACTTGCACTAGAGTCAATCAAATAGACATCGAATGCACATAGCTCTAACGTGCCCCTCATGCTTGGGTTGTGGAAGTGGTTTAGTCAACGGATCCGCAAGATTTGCATCCATGTGAATTTTGCATAACTCTACATCACCACTCTTTACGATCATTCGTATCAGGTGATATTTCCGATCTATGTGTCTGACCTTGTGGTGATTCCTCGGCTCCTTGGCTTGTGCGATGGCACCAGAATTATTACAATAAAGGTCCAACGGTTTTACCGAGGCTGGGAAAATACCAAGATCATCCATAAAGTTCCGGATCCAAACACCTTCCTTTGCAGCTTCACAAGCCGCAATGTATTCGGCTTCTGTAGTAGAATCAGCCACCGTATCTTGCTTGGAACTCATCCAGCTCACTGCTCCTCCGTTCATGACGTACACGAATCCGGACTGTGATCGACAATCATCTCTGTCGGTTTGGAAACTAGCATCGACGTAACCCCTTACGACGAGCTCTTCCTCACCTCCATAAACTAGGAACATCTCTTTAGTCCTTTTCAGGTACTTCAAAATAGTCTTTACCGCTGCCCAGTGACTCTCACCTGGGTTGGCCTGGTATCTACTTGTTAGGCTTATTGCAAAAGCAACATCGGGCCGCGTACATATCATGGCATACATGATGGATCCGATTGACGAGGCATACGGAATCCTACTCATCCCGCTTCGCTCATCAGATGTCGAAGGACTCCGAGTCTCGCTTAGCCTTATACCATGTGAGAGTGGCAAGAACCCTTTCTTTGCCTCACTCATGTTGAACCGCTTCAACACTTTATCTATGTACATGCTCTGGCTTAAGCCGAGCAGCCTCCTTGATCTATCTCTATAGATCTTAATGCCTAAAATGTACATTGCCTCACCAAGGTCCTTCATCGAAAACTTGCCATTCAATGACTCCTTGACCGAGTTCAGCATCGAAATACTATTTCCGATCAGTAGTATATCATCCACGTACAAGATCAAAAACACTATCGAGCTCCCACTTAACTTCTTGTATAAACAAGAGTCCTCTTCGCTTTTGATGAAGCCGAAACCAGTGACGACCTCATCAAAAAGAATGTTCCAGCTCCGAGATGCTTGCCTCAACCCATAAATGGATCTCTTGATCTTGCATACCTTACTAGTGCTAGTCGGATCGACAAAACCCTCGGGATGTATCATATACACGTCCTCGGTTAAATTTCCGTGAAGGAAAGTCATTTTGACATCCATCTGCCATATCTCGTAATCAAAATATGCAGCTATAGCTAGTACGATCCTCACCGACTTCAGTATCGCTACCGGCGAGTAAGTCTCGTCGTAGTCAATTCCTTGAACTTGTCCATAACCCTTAGCGACAAGCCGAGCTTTGTGGATCTGAACATTTCCATCCACATCGGTTTTCTTCTTAAAGACCCATTTGCAACCAATGGCCGTTACGCCAGGCGGCGGATCAACCAAGTCCCAAACTTGATTCTCACCCATGGACTTTAACTCGGATCTCATGGCCTCCAGCCATGCCTCGGAATCTGGGCTCACCATCGCTTCCGCATTTGTGGCCGGCTCGTCGCTTTCTAGCAACAATACATTGCACACTCTGTGCAATCTTTCCGACCTTCGTGGTTCCGGTGCCGCTTCCACTACGGGTTCCCTGACTGACTCCGGTATGATCTCATCACCAGCCGAGCCGTCCCTGAGTGGTCCTCGAATTTCTTCGAGTCGGACCATCCTCCCACTGGCCTCCCGATTGAGAAACTCTTTCTCAAGGAAAACCCCGTTCCGAGCAACAAACACTTTGTTCTCTTCTCGGTTGTAGAAGCTATATCCCAAGGTTTCCCTCGGATATCCCACGAATATGCATTTATCCGACTTGGGTGTAAGCTTGTCTGACATAAGTTTCTTGACAAATGCTTCACAACCCCAAATCTTTAGAAAAGACAAACTGGGACTCTTCCTAGTCCACATCTCATGTGGTGTCTTGTCTACGGATTTTGATGGTACCCTGTTAAGTGTGAAAGCTGCAGTTTCTAGAGCGTATCCCCAGAATGACAAGGGTAAATCCGATTTTCTCATCATAGATAGAACCATGTCCAACAAGGTATGATTCCTCCGTTCTGATACACCATTTCTCTGTGGCGTATCCGGAGGTGTGAGCTGAGGTACTATACCTCTGCTTTTCGGATGATCATCAAACTCCTGGCTCATGTACTCACCTCCATGATCAGATCGTAGAAGTTTTATAGTCTTGCCGAGCTGATTCTCAACCTCGTTTTGAAACTCTTTGAACTTTTCAAAAGTTTCTGACTTGTGCCTCATCAAATAGATATATCCATATCTACTCAAGTCGTCGGTAAAAGTTACGAAGTACTGATAGCCACCTCTGGCAGTTGTGCTCATTGTTCCACACACATCACTGTGTATCAGTTCCAACAGCTCGGATGCCCTCTCACAACTCTTTGTGAAAGGAGACTTAGTCATCTTGCCGAGCAAGCATGATTCACATGTCTCGAACGACCCAAAGTCGGTCGAAGTTATGAGTCCATCATCATGGAGCTTCTTCATGCGTTTCAGACTAATGTGTCCAAGCCGACAATGCCAGAAGTATGTCGGATTTATCTCATTAGGCTTATGCCTCTTGACATTCACGTTAT